CCAAGTGCAGTAGTCACACTTGGACATTCTGCACAAATTGTATTTTATTATCAAATCCAAATGTCGCATTGCACTCTTTTACGAGGCGATTTTTCGACAACAAACACGTACATAACTCTTTTACTTTAATACTTTGCTGAAACAGCTGAAATTTTCATTAGCCGAAAGCATTCAATTCGTGGGCACTTTTAATTCTCACACACCCAAGCGCATTTCCATGAGAGGTAACCGACACACACACACACATCCACACACTTAAACACACAGTCGCGATTGCTTGCGAGCACTTAGTATGTTGCCGGCTCGTAAAAGTTTTACGAGTCTTCCTACATTCTGCATACGTGGCAAGTGCAACAATGTGTGGTAATATGAAATTATCAATTTGCTTGAACCAGCACAGCAGCACAAAGTGTTGCACCCACTTTTGTGGCTAATCCAGATGGATGCAAAATTTGCATCCGGCACCTAGAAATTTAAAATAAATTTACTCGTAAATATTTATGAATGTATGTATGTTTTTATATGAGGAGAATTGAATGTAATTTACGGTAAATAAAATTTATATAGTTTTATTACCTTAATTACAGTTAGTGAGTATAAGTAGGTACATAAAAAAGGGAAACTAAGCGGATGTTTGTAGACGAATTTCCATAATTTTTTTCTAGTCAAAGTATATACTAGAAGTCATGCTCTTTCCTCATTTGCCAGCCGAATAATTTAAGTGTTTGAAATCCAATTAAATTAAAATCTAGAAAAATGCATTTATAGCATTAATCGCCCAAAAACATTGATCGAATCAAGTTGAGACGCAAGCCACCAAAGTGAAAATCTACTAATGTATCTAATGTAATGTCGCGTACCATTTTTTCGCCAAATTCCGTCGAGAATTGAATTGAAGAGATGACTTCCACAGGTAGTAAAGACCAGTCTCTCTACAGCTGGAATTAAAATCAAAAACAAGAAAAAACGTCAACTTCGGTTGCACCAAAGTTATAATACACAATTCACAAATACAAAAGATCAGATATATGTCCTTCTGGGTGTTACAAACTTCAAGGCAAATGTTATTTATTATTTTTAGTTTGAGGTATTATTAATTTTATAAGTTTTATATAATCTTGGATGTCTTGATGGACTTAAACCTACATTATTTTCCTTTGAATAGAAAAAAGGCATGTGTTGATCGCAGGAGATCGAAGAATAGAAGAAGTATCAAAGTATGGAACTAAGAACTGACGTTTTAACTGAAATATCCCTAATAATCTAAACACAATAATCAAACACATTTGGATAAAAGAAAGGTTAGCATAACTTACTCGAAAAAGGTATATCTGACGTAAAGTTACGAACTACCACGCGCTTGGTAAGACCGTTATGACACGATAAGATGAACATCAAAATAGTTTAAGGAGAATTTTTCTTTATCAAATCAGGTTCTGTAGCGAATTTGTTCATGACCCTGTGTGTAATGTAGCTAAGTAATTAATAATGCTTTGCCTTTATCGTTAAACATATGCAATAGAATGCTTTACGAAGTTATATGCTTCGTAAAATAAATTAGCCACCTCGTATTCCAACTAAAAAAAATCTTTATTTTTTTTAGTATTTGTCTACATTGGATTAAATAAATTCCATTATGTTTCTAGATTCCATTGCCATTTTTAAATGAGTTCAACTCATAGGCTCATACAGCTCAATAACATTTAGAGTCAATAAAATTATTGTTCTGCTCATTTCTGGTAAAATGAGCATTGAAAATGTCTCAACAAAAAAATAAATCGAAAGTCAAAGAAACGTAAAGCAACAACAGTTTGAAAACTTAAATAAAAAAAAAGCAGAACAACGGATTCAGCAATTATTTTCAGATGCAACACAATAAAATGAACAACCAAACGTCTCCGAATAAGCAAGCGTTAATTTTTAATCCGGTTGTTGACTACGAACTAGTGCTGAACCTCTTCCTGGAAGAATTCAATGGGCGTTGGAACAATGTGCAACCCTCACTGGAGACCGGACTCGAGGGCTATGAAGAAATAACTATACTCGGCTCGGGCTCATTCGGTCAGGTGGTGAGTAGTAAAGCGAAATGATTAGTTAAAGCGAACGCTTTGACTTCGGCAACGATTTAATCACATCAGGCATTGTGCAAGGATAAGTCCACGGGCGATTATTATGCAGCAAAACTTATGTTGAAAGAAAAAATTGTCAAGATGAAGCAGGTTACACATGTGCATAATGAGAAACGGGTGCTGGCCTGCATCAAATTTCCCTTCCTCATTTGGCTGGAGTTCTCTCGAAAGGACTACGATCTGCTCTACTTGGGGCTGCCATTTGTTAATGGCGGCGAATTATTCACATATCATCGCAAGTACCGTGTGTGCCCCACACCAGCCCATTACATAAATAAATTGTGATCCTTTCCCCCTTTAGAATGCGCAAGTTCAATGAAAAGCATGCCCGCTTTTACGCCGCTCAAGTCTTTCTCGCCCTGGAGTATTTGCATTTCCTGCATCTAATCTATCGTGACTTGAAGCCCGAGAATGTAATGATCGATAAAAATGGTTATATCAAAATAACGGATTTCGGATTTGTTAAGGTCGCTTATATCTTAAGTTATTGATTCTTCTTCTTTTTGGTAATACTAAAAGTCATGTCGTTCAGCAGAAAGTAGAGACGCGCACTATGACGCTATGCGGTACTCCTGAATACCTTGCGCCCGAGGTCATTCAATCACGTCCCTATGGCTCGTGCGTGGACTGGTGGTCTTTTGGCGTGTTCATTTATGAAATGGTCAATGGTTCGTCACCCTTCGCGCCCTTCAATCGCGACATAATGGTTATGTATGGCAAGATTTGTGAAGGCGAATACAAAATGCCGCAGAGCTTCAGTTCCGAACTCAAAGACTTGGTTGAAAACTTGCTGCAAGTTGAATTGTCGAAGCGGTGAGTGAAAGAGAGTATACGCATATTATGTGTCTTATTTAAATTTTGCTCACCATAGATTTGGCAGCTTAATCAATGGCAATAAAGACATCAAAAATCACGACTGGTTCAGATCCATCGATTGGTTTGCGATACTCAACCAGGAAATGCCAGCTCCTTACGTGCCACAAATTGGTCATGCTGAAGATTTGTCCAATTTTGACAAATACCCGGAGTTTAGGCGTGGACCGAAATCAAAAACATGTCGCTATTGCGAGGCTTTTGCTGAATTTTAAAATTATATTTTCAGTTTTTGTTTTTATATTTGCGTTTTTAACTCAATTACTAAATTCTTATTAATTACACATATTAAATACTATGGAGTTCATTGAAAAATATGATAGATAGGTATATACATATACTCTTTTTTGTTTTATGAGAACATAAAATTTGTATAACAGGTCTGATTGCTTCTGTTCCTACAGCGCCATGATTACACACCGTGAGAGGAAAACAGAAACTACGCCAAACAAATTTCATTGGCTCTCTAATAGAATATCGATTCCCTTATTTGGCATCATTAAGGACAGGATCATCACCCTGAATAAATATTCTTAATTGGATATATACACATTGTTGACGTCAAGTATCGAATTTATAAGGTTTAGTTACAGATATTCTAGTTGATTCGGTTCAAGTAGTAATCAGACAATTTAAAACACATTTTAACAACGTTTTCAATACCCTAAACAGACTAAATTAAGTTTGTCACGAAGTTTGTAACACCCAGAAGGAGACACCGGAGACCATATACCATATAAATGTGCGACGTGCTCAGTCGATTTAGTCATGTTCGTCTGTCGTCTGTATATACTTGTACATAAACAGCTTCTTTTACGGGCTTTGTTTTATTTTGAATGTTCTAGCAGTAATCAGCCATCATATTTGCATTCCAACGACCCTGGTATCACTCTTCCATGGTGCGAATATACCGATGAAAGTGTTCTCCATGTTCTTTACTTAAGTCGCCTAAGTTTTTTGAGAAGCGGTCTAAATGGTTGAAGAGGAAGTGCATCTTGATAGCATATTACATCATAGTCTCTGTAAGTGTTGAATATTGCCTGGAGACTTTTTATTTCCTAAAAAACCGAAATAAATTCAATCCATGCAGATTTCTTCTTATCTGTCATACAATCAGTAAAATATTGGTTCATTATTAGTGCCCTGATTTGAGGACCATCAAAAATACCAGCTGTAATTCTTTCTGTGCTTAATTTTGGAAAAATTTTACTGATATAGTTAAAACTTTCCCCATCCTTCTTTAGAGCTTTTACAAACTGTTTTATCAGACCTAATTTATATGTAGAGTGAGTGAATTTATTGCGCTCTCTGGCTACTAGAATTACATTCATCACATTCATACTATCCGGTACTATATACACTATCAAAGGCAAAACTTTTTTAGTCCAGTGTTGTGTCTTGGCTCGGCTATACCGTAAGCACATGAAGCAGGCGTATTTTGTATATCTTCCTGGTAGACTCAAAAGAAAATTTATCATTTTAAGATCGACGCATATCAGCCTACATAGAACTGTATTTTATTCCCAAAGTAGTTCAAATAGGCTTTCTTTATAAAATCAGATGCATTTAAACGGCATTCTTTAAACATATTGACACCACAAACAGCGCAAAAACTATTTGAATCATTTAAACAAGTTCTTCTTAATGTAGACAACGGTTTATCTTTGAAGTTTAGTAATTTTTAGCCCTAAAAATCAATTCAAGAGCTGCTAGAAAGAAACTGAGGGTAGGTTTAAAATCAGCAACGTCAAATTAGTAAGAAACAGTTTAGAAACTTTATAAAACAAAAAAGTTTGATTTTGTTTACCAGAGTAATAAATGCCGAAATCTATGAAGACCTGATAGCTGAACTTGTGAGTTTTCGAAATTTTTTAAGTTGACAAGTTCATCGAATGAATCGTTTTTCCTTTTCTTTGAGTTTTCTCAACACATTTTTCAGAAATAAATATTTTACACCAAAAATAATTTTCCGAATTTTTCTCCAAACCAGGTCTTACGTTCTAAAACGTTTTTTTACATTCAAGAAACAGGCATAGAAAGCTCTTTTTTTTCTTCGAACTCCCCACATTGGAGTAAAAACACATGTTGAGCGCCCCATTTTAATGTGTGCTTGTGAAATTTCTCACAGTTACATTTTTACGCCATATTTGGTGGTGCAAAGGGACATGCCACAAAGTGTCACCAATCACATTATTTTTTTTGGCTCTTGTGTTTTCTTCTGTACTTATTTCGAAAGCGTCGATATTCACACACACACACACACACTCATTTCGAAGTCGCTTTCCTAATGTTTCCAATTTGGCGTTCTTCTAAGCAATTAATTACCCAATTTCTCTGTTGTTCCAAGAAGAACAGCTGTAAGACAAGTGCCGAGCAAGTGCTTGCCGAAGCTGTGGAAATTTTTCATTTTTCCCATGCAAAGCGCTGCGATATCATGAACCACATATTTACAGTTATATTGTACATACTTTTACAATTCTACACTCTCGAAGGCATGTTACATGTTCGCTTTCCCCAAGCAGATGTTTCAAGTTTCGAATGCGTGTCAAAGTGTTAGCAGCGTTTCCCTAAATTATTCAACTGAACTGTGTGTTAGTGTCAGTGAAAGCGCTTTGATCTTAAATAATATTTGAAGTTCCCGAAATTTCGAAATTCCCAATCAGAATTAAAAACCATTCGGCTCGATGAAGAGGTACATGACTGAACCATGCAACTACTACCACACATACAGTGCGCAAATTCATCAAGTTTATAATATGGGAGTGAAAACTAAAATTATATTCTGTCAATTTTGTACTTAATTTCTTAAGCATATTTACTTTCCTAGAAGTGGCGCTCACTTTCTCAATACAACCGCTCACTTATTCACTTTAACTGCCCGCTACTTAAAACGTGTACAATTTATTTACAATGGCAAAACTTTCAATGGATTACAAGCAATACAGCTCAGCTAACAGGCGCCCCACTCAACACATTCTCGCCACTTACCTTAGTTTCAGGCAAAAGGACCAAAGCTCACAAGTGCGCTACACGATGATTTCAGCAAGAAACGGTTGAAGCAAGGGCAAGCAGGAAGAAGAGCAACGCAGAGAAAGCAAGCAGGACCTTTGCTGCCGGACAAACACAGGAAGGGGCTATGAATGGGAATGGGCAGCACTGGCGCCGGACGGTCGGGCGCCAAAAAGCAGAGGTAAAATCAGGAGTTTCTCAAAACTATGATTATGGTGATGACGATTACAACAACAAATACAACAAAGCATTGCAGCCAGCCGAGAGTCAGAGGCGATGTGGCCGTCCGTGTACATTGAACTGCTGATGGAGGACCGGAGTGCGCCAGGCAAAACAACGCACAACAACAACGAGGCAGCCAAAGATGCCGCAGACGATGATGTTTCATCTTTTCCACATGAAAACTCACGTAACAAAAATTATGATTATCATAATTTTGTGTTTTTTCTTCTCCATTTATTTTTTTCCATACTGTTTGTGTATGCCTTTTTTGCATGCAAAACGGCAGGAGCCACAAAGAGCGCGAACAACAACAAACTTGTTCTGCCGTGTTCAACTGGACAAAGGACTTTGTCCTTTAATTTCAGTATGAAAGCGAGCAAAAGCGGTTATTTGAGTTGTACAGTTATTCGGTGGTGTGGACATGGTGGAGTGTGCAAAATTTCTAAGGGGTGATTGTACGCCGAGATATGGGACAGTTGAGTCAAGCGACTAGAAGAGCAGACGACTAGTGATAGCGAGTGCTGGCTGCTGGCTGCTGTGTTCGTGCGAAGAAAGGTGCTTTCACCGAAGAGTGGGATTGGCGCTTTCAGATAAAACTGTGAATAAATCACAGCGTCGAAATGAGATGTTCAACGTGATTTATGTTGATTTTGGTAACAGGAGTATTTTCTACGCAATTCTTTTCTTGTTCTTCATTTCGCTACCGTTTGATATTCCATATTTATTGAGTGATGGTAAAATGTAACTAGATATCTGTGGTTTTTATAAATAAAAATAAAACAATAAAAAATAGTAGTTGCTGCAAAGAAGGTTATAGAGTTTTTCTTTTTTTTTAATATTATTTCAGAGGAAAGTAATCTGAACTTCTTATAAATGGCCTAATTTCCTTTAAACACAACTAGATCGGGTAATCATAATTCATACTAAATATGACGGAACGCAGTACAGTAAGGTCCACTTCGCCAAGTTCGTAAAAAGTATGGCATTCAAAATGCTTCAACCTTAGTCTGGCGAAAGCTGGAGATTGGAGGATAAAGTGTCTAGAAGTTGTGTGCTCCAAAATCTTATCCTCATCGCGTGAGTGCCAATGGACGCTAATCGTTGCGGCGCTGTGAATCTTGCTAAAAGTTAGCAGTTCAATATATCGTTTAGATTCCACGCTAGCCTAGAAGACTTTCACAACCTCACAAATGCTGGTGGCTGATCAACGCTTCCTGAGTTACCGCGAAGCCAATAGATAAAGCGCCCGAATGCACGAAGACAGGCGAACCTCAACTCGTTCCCATCCTGATGGATTTTGGATATTATCGCCTTTTCTTGCAAGCTCTTCGGTTTTACAATTTCCGACAGTTTTCTCTCGGAGATGTGTGCGTTGAGAAAATTTCGCCAGGAGTAGGTTCCACGACGCTGTGATCCAAGTTATCAGGGATTTAGTGAAAGTGAGAGACGATTTATATATATACCGATAATTTCGTTACAAATATATGCCTTGAGCTTGTGAGTGGTTCCAGCATTAAATATTTTCAAAGCATTGCTAACCAACTTAGTAACTCAGTAAGCAAATATAGAACTTATTCAATGTTTATTCACATTCAAAAGAGGTGGCATAACCTGTGCAACAATAATTGTATACTCATAATGCAGATATAGTCTTGATTTGGATTTGTTAAAACTTTGAAGAAGATTTTGGAATAAACAGTGTATTTGAGTTTCCTCGTTCAGTTGTTACAGCAGACTCCCGGCTCAGCTCAGAAAATAATTTAGGCATAAATTCCAAAAGAGGAGTTGCACCACTACACAAACATAATATATTTCATTGACAGTTTTCACACAATGAACCAAGAGCCATGATAGTTGTGTATATCAATAGGGTCCAACAAAAATCTTTACAGAACTGAAATATATTCATTTGTGTGAACTATTTTCATATCTGCTGATAACACAAATGGTTTTAATATTATATAAGATTATTAATTAGATAAAATAGAATTTAGTTGATTATAAAAATGCGAAGAACAAACAACAAACCACTCCAAGTACAACCTGTTTGCATATGTGTGTCTATGTGTAGATTTATGTATATCTCACACACGTGTTC